TTCTGCTCTTCATTACTTCCAGAAAAAATTTTAAAATGTGCAATAAGTTACTTCACAATGTAGACCTCATGAATAAACTAGTAACTTAAAATATTTGGATGAAGTAAATGTCAATGACAATAAATATTCTTAGATAATTTATAGCGTATGTTCCGCTATCTTTAACTTTATACATATTTTAAATCTATCAATTTTCAAACATAAGATATTTTTTTAATCTCTGATACCATAACATTTATTTTTGTAGAGACCAAATGTCATAATTTCACTCATATATTTCAACTGAGAATCAACCATGTTAAGATTGTTATATTGCGAATTAAAACTTGAAGGGATAATCTAATGCGATGATACAAATATTTTTGAAATTTTTTTTTATTCATTTATTTCAAAGTATTTTCAAATGATAGAATGAAAAGTTTTTTCAAAATCAATCAGCACAATTTTAAACATTGTTAGTATTTGATTCAGTTCTTGTTAACTCAAATTAGTGTCATATAATGAAAATTGATCCTAGGTCTAGGATACAATCAGGTTATTTTTGTTAATTTTAGTTAAATGGTAAATGTTTGTGTTGTGTTATTGTTGATTTAGCCCGAAATGATCAGCCATGTATTTTTTTTCGTAGGCTGTCTGTTAATGCAAATCTTAATAATTCATGTTAGCGTTATCCTAGTTAATAAGACGGGGGTTAGTTCGTCGCAATATGTGTCTCGTTTATATCATATTGTTTGTAGTTTTTTGTGACCCAAACTTGTAATTTGTGAAGGAAGAGCTTCTGTTCTTATGGAAGTTAACTCATAGATATGATTTGCATATTTTCGTATCAGTTTTTATTTATTTCTTCTCGTGAGAATCTCCAATGAAAATTTTTAATGCTGAAATTAGTTATGATATTATAAAAAATCAACATCTGAAACATTTTTTTTGGTTTTACAAAATTTTACATTATCGTTGTAGGGATTTGCACAAGGAACATAGCGATCAACAATCTCAAGTACCAAAATTTGAGTATTGCGTAGACTAACTTTAGCCACAATCACCAAAAATATAATGTACAAAGAATGATCATGATATGATTCAATCTAAATGAATTTTTTGGAAGATTATTCTATAAATAACTCAAACGGACAAAGAGATTGAGAAGAGTTTTCGGATGCGAAAAAATTCCAAATATTTGTAAATTCTTAAATTCTTCTATATTTTTAATTGGAAATAATATTCCGTTTAAGTTTTAGTTATTGGAGATTTATTTAAAAATAAAATTTTAATATAGTTAACAAATATAGATAAAACAAAAATTACATATTTCGGTGTATTTATATACATAAAAATTAAACATATACAAGATTACTTTACTGTCAAAGTTAAATAATTATCAAAATTTGGCATGACTATATTCAATTAGTTCTATAAGTGAAATTGATAAGAAACTCATTAACTTCTATAAACACATAGAATTCATTCATCAAAATTTGACTACAACGTATTCCAGTTTCAAAACTTTATTGACTCATTAATTATATGAAATAAATATATTTCAGTAGAAAATGAATTTTTTGCATGTGCCTACCAAATTTTTGCATGAATAGATGATTTTAAGAAATAAATTTAACAACAAATATTAGCATGAATATAGAATTTGGTTTGAAAAATTATATTATTAAAATCTTGTGAATATAAAGTTTTTATAGAAAAAAATATTTTACAATTGTTAAATTGATATAAATTGATTTTACATTTTTTTACATAATTTTGGAATTTCAATATGAATACTAAAATTTATAGAAATAAAATTGATAAAAAAATTAATCACTTTAAATTATTTTATTTTGCAGATTGCATCTATCATTAGACTATATACTTTTTCAATATGTGAAATATAATTATTTTTCTAATTAATTTTTAATTTTTGATTATTTAATAAAAATTAATTCGATAACTATAAAATAGTATATACATTTTAAATAAATTTTTTAAGCATAAAATTTTTTATTATAAAATTTACCGTCATTTCTGAAATTATGATAAATATAGATTATTTAATGTTTTCCAATCATATAGGAGTATATATAAATGTTATACATTATAAATTATATTTTTATAAAATTATGATTATCCATTATATGGATTTTATATTATTTGAGATCTTAAATTTAATTTTAACATATCAATCAAATATGTGTTCTATATCATTATTATTGAAACATTGAATCATAATTATTTTATATTTTAATTTTAAGAAATGTTAAGTTTTTGAACTAATTTAGAGTTCAAATTTAATAATTCATGTTTGCATGTCGAATGATATCTGACATATTTGATTTTCATATAAATTTTTTTAATTGAAAATTTCAAGAAGTTTCATGTTGTATCTATATCACAAAATATTTTGTACATACTTTTTATCAAATATGAGATGAATGATCTATCAACATTGCCCCAACATGATACATGTTATCTTTTAGTGTTTATAAATCTTTTCAATCAATTTCAATCATGAGAGATTCCAAGTTATTATTTTTTGTATAAATGGATCTCAAATTTTATTCATTTATGAAAAATCATCCTTATAATGCATGCTCTCTTGCAACTTAATGATATTTTAAGTTGATTCTACGTAATTTTAGGTATATTTGCTAATAGATTAATCAATCCAATCTAAAATAGCTCATCATGTACGATCGTGTCAATAACCACAAGGAATTCGACCTAAAGATAAATGATGAGATTAGAAAACTTTTCCTTTATCTATGTCTTCGAAACATATGGTAAATGGTATATATCGAAGTGCTATCCCTGATGCTCTTCGATTTTTACAGATATATTGTTAAGAGTAAGAAACTATTAATGTAATAATGACTATAGTGAAACTATAAATGGATGTAAAGCAAAATAAAAGCAGTTTATTGAAGAGTCTGATGATGGCCTTGTACCCTTATAGGTTTGTTTAAATTCTACTAGTGGAGGTTTGTAAGGGTTTAAATTTTGAACCCATTCGAAACCTCCACCTGTACAAAACAGGTAATGGTGTATCAGGCATTACAAGTATCAGTGACTCCAATATCAGCGAGGTCATCTGCACTGATCGAATCCCATCCCTCTCGCTGTTTGTTTTAATACATGTTTGATCAATCCGAAGGCTCGTTGGTACACAGGAAAGCTAAGGAACTGTCCTTTTGACGTGCACGATTAATCTATCACTGGACAAGCTTTTCTGTTTGGGGAGATACGTGGTTTACATCAGCTTACTATAGGTGGATAACAAAACGGCTGAGTAAAACTTCACGAGACATCAAATTTATTGAGGATGCACCACGCTTCCACCAGCGGATTGCAGATTTGATAATTTTCTGCAGAGTGCTATGCTGTGTGGAAGGACACTACGGCATGAAGTCATCAGGACTTGGAACTTCGAAAAGGCTACCGACTAGTGCGGCCCCTCACCGAATATAAAGCTGGAAAGCACAACTGCCCGTGGCAGTAGAGTAGAGACGAAGGAAGATACACCTGCTGATCCTGGTATCTCGATAAGTTTAGTCACTGAGTCACTTGTGAGCTACTTATCTAACTTGGTCAGAGGACACCTCGACTATGCTTCTCTTGCCACATTTTACTAGTTAACCACTGTGATGGTCAGGTTATCTACAGTAAATATTTCGCCAGGTACCCGTCTGAAACGCGTGAGTATTTTGCTCCCGAGCAATTTGATTATCCTAACTAAAGTGTACTTCGAGTGCATGCACAGGAGCTACCACTTTACAGAAAGACTGACTTTGGTGGCGCGCTGCTGCTGGCCATGGATTCGATTGCCACAGAACTTCTGAAACGGCAGTAAAAATGCTGGAGCTGCGATAGGATCGAGTTTTCCACAGTAGTAGCTGCAGCAGCTTTTAGAACCTCATAAGTTGAAAACTTGATCATCACTTGGACAAGTATAGCAGCGTCCCGCCACAGAGGCTTTGGGAAACTGACCAAATTACTTCCAATCAACCTCCATGTTCTATTGGATCATCACTACGGTAGCATAATAGTAAACTACAATTCCCTGGGCCACGATTTTAGACCGAAGTGTTCAAATCGTGACCGGCTTAATTTCCAGTTGGACTGCAGTTGAAATAATTGCACCTAAATGCTTTTTGGAATAGGACCTACTTACCGAGTGCTGCTCGTGTAAGTTTTTACGCAGTGAACTCATACGTCACTGGTGTTCTGACAAGGAATGGCACTGTGTCCAGTAATTGATGACTTTACATTACCTGATTAAAAGGGCGTGAGAATGAGTTGATTACAGGATGCAAGATATGCATTCCAGTCTGTGCACACCGCCCAACTGGATATTGTCGTCGCTTCAGGGCGTACCAAATTAAGCAGCTTACAGGAGATTGGTTATGAGAGGAGATTTCGCAAGCTGTTCCGAATGCACATGGCGTCATGAGCATTGTGCTAAAGAGAAAGAGATTCTCTATTCTCAGTCAAGACATGGTCTCGAGGCGGCGGTGATTCTCGCAGCATCCTGGTATCCCGTGTGGTTTACAGCAATATATGGTGACTTTCCGATCTAAATACTTCTCTTCCTTGCTCTTCATATCTCGGATATGTTCCAGCAGCTGTCGGTAAACTAGAGGCCTTGACCGTGGACACATCTGCATCCGAAGCTACTAAAAAGGCAGGGAGTCGAAAACTTCTCAGCGTTATCCTCACAGGCAGTCTCTCAATCTGAAAGCACGACAAAGTCAAGGTTATCATGACGAAAGAGAGGACAAAACACGAACTGCATTGATTCCAGGCAAAACATCTTTCACATCGACAGTCAACAACATGGGATGATCATATCCGGCCGACTCACATCACCACATGGCATAAACGAACATTGATTAACGCGTGTACGATTGTGACAGTTCTCAAGCTACTATACTAATTAGTCTTCCAAAGTAATTTCCAAAGGTTTACATGGATAAAATATGGCAATTTTGGTAATCCTGCGCACGTTACGACTTGCTGCTCATCTTCTTACTAGAGACGAATTTTTATTAGAGGTATTATCGGCCGCGGTACGCAGACTCAATTTACAGCTTTCAAGAATCCCGCAATTCTAATGGAGCAAGTTTTTGAAGTGGCTATGAACGCTATTCTTGGGGTAGCTCTTGCTAAGTATATTGTACACAATTTCACTGTTTTATTACTCTCTGTAAACTTGTAACCAGGCAAAATTGGTCCAAGTACTATGTTTACATGTTTCTGTCCGTAGGAAGCCGTTTATTTGGTAGAATCTCAATGTTGCGCTTTACCATGGCGCCTTCACTTGAATGTGGACTTGGATTATAGATGTTCTAAACTGGCCAGGCGAAGGGGTATTGACAGACCCGACCTGAGATACAATTCAATCTGATCAATATTGGAAAAGTTCCTATGGTGTAGGTTAGAGCAACATCAATTGTACATTCTCGTAATCTTCCTGACGAGCTACTGCTGTGACGAGGTTATAAGAAACGTTTCAGACACAACAAGTTCGATTCTAGGCGTAGCCATAGTCAAACTTCACTGGACTTATCAAGATATTTTGATCGGCCACGGTTCGACTTCCTTGCGTTAGCAAAGTGTGTGTAAGGTCCACTCTTGGGGCGCCCCTCGCGAGGTTCAAGGTACTCGTTGTGTATCATGGAGGAAGAACTTTGGACTTGCTACGACAAGACTAAGAATCTGATCGTAGGAACACAGACTGCTCAAAATCGATTCATCTAAAGGAGTAGGTTATTCGACCCGCCTTCAGTTGCTTTCTGGAGGGTGTGTATCGGGCTCAGCGTAATCCTGGCTCCAGTCTTGCTTCTTGTTGTGATCAATACCCGGAGCGTGGGGACTGAGGTAAAATGGCTGCGTTTGCTGACCGGTTGCTGTTGTGCTATTGATCCCCACCATCACTCTCCTTCCTTGATCCTGTTTCAGGAACCATGCCTGAGGACTAGGAGGGCCTGGACTTCGAGCACCTCGCAGGAATCTCCTGTTTCTGCTATCGTATTTGTGGCCAATTGTTCGGCTGTCCATCTCTTCCGTTCTGGAAATCGCTTCCGGACCAACTTGGATAGGACCTATGTCGTCAAGAAAATTGAAAACTAAGCTTCTACCACTGTCCGCATGCAACGATTTTCGAATGCTTGAGCCCTGTAAGAATCCAGACACCAAAATGACAGTTCTGAACACGTTAGCGAACGATACTAGAAACCGGGAATTCGTAAGCATGATCACCAAAGACGAGTAACGTGACTGTTGTGGATGACCATTCTCACGTATTTCACTGGATTATTACTTGGCAGAATGCTAAACGCCCTTCCTAGACAATCTCTTACAAGAAAAGACGACAGTTTTGTAGTCTGCAAGTAGAGACTTGTTGGAGGCGGCCGGGTTCAAGAGCCGTTGCAGGCCATAGACGGCTTACAGCCACATCTAGAGCGATACCAGACTACAAGAAAATATAACGACCATTAAGATTGTAACCCAAATCAACACACTGCTGAAAACCTGGATGCGGTATGCACACTACTCTGAGCGCTGAATTTCATCATTATACCTTCAGATTAACACGAACGTCTGGAAGTGCATAAGCTGTTGACTTGCGGAAATCGCCTTCAATAATAGAACTTTGGCGAACTATTTGATCATGATATCCTGCCATAAGTCGGTTTTATCAGATCTCCTCCTTCGACCCAATCCACTGTAGTGTTTTATTTAAGAATCATTCACTACAATTGCATAGTAGAAAATGAGAATGCAAATGGACTCCAGCAATAATCCACACCTGTTCTCAAGGGGATGGCTGATCCAGTAGTCATGAACAGCAACTTCAGTAGCAGTAGCAGCGCTAGACTGATGCACCGGGCCCATTCTGACCTGCATCTAAACATGATGACGTTCAAAGCTGTAGAAATGCGCAGATTTGTAAGCTGTACATGGACAGGTTCGCCGCGGCCGGTACAGTAACTGCGCTGATCCGAATTCCAGGCTAGCCTTACGCCTCGAGAGAAAACTCAGCAACAGTCACTAAAAAACAGACAAATGTGGATTCCAGAACCAAGTCATAGGCATGACAAACTCTTTGCTCAGAGAGTCGTCACAAGGAGCACGAACACCTTCGACGCAACAAGTAACGATGTGGCGCATGTGCAATGAGTGTAGGTGATCAGAACAACCTGAGCAACACCCGCAACCGGCTTTTCTGAAGAGGAGAAGCTGCGAAGGCATTTGTTGATTCACTAACTGAGAAGCAATCGAGGAGTACCCAAGTTCTCCAGGAACAACTCAGCAAGGAAAGGAGGAGAGATGTAGTCAACAGATTCAGGTGAGCCTGGTTGTGATGCAGACTTGGATGAGATGGAATCCTTGCGTGAGACTGTCACAAGTGACTGCATTAAGAGTTCGGAGTAAGTGAAATGAGGAAAGCAAAAGAGTGGGGAGCCCAGTGTGAGATGTTGCGAATAGAATGAATTAGGCAATGGCGAGAGAGGGGGAAAGCGAGAGCAGGTCCCACACAAAAACTGTTGGGTACAGCATTCGCACATGTGAGCTTTGATATCCAGCACGTCGCACAACCAAGGGTCGTCCCCGTCCTCCCTTCCGTTCCTCACGCCGGGCCCAGTCCCGAGACCCAAGGGAAGGGGCCCGGGGATCACAACCCCCAATGTCCTGCCCTGCTTCCTCCTGTCATAGTCTGTCCATTGGACCGTTTCCTTCAACTTAATTTGGCGGCGCCCTGCCAGCCCCGACATTGTCCGGACTTTTTACGGGCACCCCTTATTCTTACCTTCTACCTATTCTCCTTCCGTTCTCTGTCGTAAGATCGAAAAGATCAGCAGAACTTCTATGCCTATCTCGGCTTTCTCAGTTAAGTCCTATGCACCACACAAAACTCCATGAAGAAGAGAGTCTTCTGTAAATTTGCCCAAGAATGTATGTCGATACTACTACCAAAGGCAGACAATCTTCATAAATGTACCTAGAGTACTTCGCGGGTACCGGTATAACAGACGGCGTCATTATCTCTGTGGATACATGACTTGATGAGAAGGTGAAGGTGACATATCAGATGTGCCATGGGTTGTTTAAGACTTTCCCATCTTAATATTTCCGCAAACCTCATGGACATGGGTGCCTATCTCCTTCGGGCGCCTTCCGAGCTTGAATTCATCTTTGAAAAACCAAACAATCGTACTCTTTAACGATCTTCAAGGTAGACTGTTGCCACTTTTGTGAAAACTGCGGAAACGCTTCAACGATCTTTCATCTTCTGGTGTCCAGTTGACTTACAGATCACATGACACTTATGATCTGCAGCCACAACGAGACGTTTACACTTTACATTTCTGCCTTTTCTCCGTCGCAATTGTTTTTATTATTGTTCTCTTCGTGCGATTTCCCGGTTCTCCCCATCGTCATCTTCCATAGTTGCTTTGTGACTCCGTACTTGGGATCAAGATCTCACGGAACGATGCAAGTTCATCTCCCGTTTCTTAAGCTCGGTCATAATACGAAAATAAGGAGGAAAACGTCCGATATCTGGTTCAAAAAACACACACACGACCCTAGTCAAACTCAACATTGAATTTAAAAACAGCATAAAGTACATTTCAGCTGTCACCTACTATTTTGAAGTAAACAGTTCACCTTTGAATTCATTCACCTTTATATAAGGAATTCATTTTATTTTGGTTTAGATCTAAATCTATACAATAACTCTATGTCATTCTTTTTTAATCAGAGATTTTTAAACTTAATTTTCATGTATAGTCCAACTATCAAACTTGTAAAAAGATAAGGATGCATTTTCAACGTTAACAGAAGAGAATTTTATAACGTATCTGTAACTCGTTGAAATATTATATATGTTGTTAAACACATCGTCTGCGATACGCTTGCCATAATGTTACAGGTGAAGTTTTTCAAAAGATGTAAAAAATAACTTTTTTTAAGCTCTTGTTTATTTCAATTGTTTGTTAAATGTTTTATACACTTGTAGAACTTGACTGAGATACTCCATAGGTGATATTTGTTCGAGCATTATGTATCACATTTTTTTTTTAAATCATAATTTATTTGACTGATTGAAAAAATTGAATAATCTTCATCGCACACACAGAAATTTAGATGATTGAATAAAGAACGATGATATCTCTGAATAAGAACGAACCAAAGAAATATCAAATATTTATTATATTAATAATAAAAAATGCTTCAAAGGCTTTTCTGTATATCTTGGTATTTTCAATGTCACATCAAACTCGAAAGCTAAATTATGTGTCGAATCTTTGTAAGGTAAGACTTGAGAAAAAAATTAACTATATCAAAGTAATAAATGAACATTTTAATTTTTTTCAAGAAGATTTAGATTTTGGGAAAAAAAATAAGTTATTGAAGGTTAGTGGTTGAAAAAAATTACAGTTAAGCATATCTTATGTAGGAATATGCAATATATACATAACAATATCTGAGATTTAGAAAATCCATCATGTTCATTAATATAATAATTTTATATATAATTTGATTTTTTAATATAAATATATAGTATTATAATTAAAATGTACATAATTTAGTAAAATCTATATTCAAAAATATGAATGTGAATCTTAAACATCTAATTTTTACAAAAATTTTACTAAAAACTTTATTTCAATTTACAAATATGAAATAGGAAGAAATTATTTAAGAAATTTTATTATATTTCTTGAAATTTTATATTTATTTCAAAATTTGAGTGAAATTCATTAAAAATTTAAATTCCAACATCTCATGTTCACTGAGAACTTATTTCTATATAATTCTTTGCAAACTTGATAATTCATTTGTTTTAAAAAATAAATTTAAAATTTAAATTCGTTTTAAATATCGCAATATTATAAAACTATTTGAAATAATTATAGAGTAATTAATTATGTCAAGGGTATGAGAATAGCCATTGATATGTACAATTCAGAAACAAAATTATATTCAAATTTTAATTGTTGATATCATTCTTGCTAGCATTGCATGAATTTGTATAAATGTCTATGTTTATGATTAATTAAGTATTAACAATATATATTTTTATTTATTTAATTCAAATGAAATCATAGCCAACAAATTTCAATGAAAGCTCACAATATTAATTTTTGTGAAATGTTGTTTTAAATCATCTATTAAATTTAAAAATTCTGGTTTATTGAATTTAATTATTTTATAACTTATGTACAGTCATGCAATTAGTAGAATGTATTAGAATTAGATATAAAAATTTAGTAGAATAATATTATTTTAATTTTCAACAAAAGTGAATGTATTTAATTAAGTTCAATCTATACATATTAAATTGATTGAATATAGATTGTCAAAAAATCTATTTGAAGCTACCGCCGGTCTCGACCTTCGGACCTCGAAGGAATCCTCAATAAATCAAGAATCATCAATAACAAAACATAGTGAGAAACCAACTCAACACAAGAGATAATAAATAACACAGTTCACCACTTCAAAGGGGTTACGTCCACGACATAAACATTCGCAATGCTGTACACGAGGTTGTTCATCAAATGTTCATCAAACAGGGTTTGATGAACATGGCAAAAGCCGGGGTATTTAAGCCATAGTCCAAGCAACCATCCTAGCTATATTAAATTAGTACACAAAGTTACTCTTTAATCGGAGTTAAGTTCAACAGTAATTCAAAATAATAATTGAGTGTTAACATTTTTGATATTTCTAAAATGGGAGCGGTTAGTTATGGCTCAATTTATTCTAATTCAACCTCATCCTATTTACCATTATCATGACAAGTAATGTGCATTACATGAACTACATGGACAATTTTTCGAGTTTCGAGTTGAAATTTCGAGTGTAGGGGCCGAGATCATTTCTTGCAAAAATTATTTCTTCGCGTCGGAGTTTTTTCAAGGCTGAAAATTTGCAGAGCCGTGGAGTTGGGTAGTGTGCTCCAGCTTGCAAAATTTTACGCATTTTGGAGTTGCGACGCCGAAGTCAAGGGTGTTGGTGTGGAATATCCGAGGACTTTCAACAACAAAGTATGTGAGTGCTGCTCCGATTTGGAAGATGGTTGACGTCATCAACATTGCGCAGACTTGGGAACATGAAAGCAATATTATTGCTAAGTTGGAAGGATTTACTTTGGCGGGGTCGACATGGAACCAGAGAAAACAACATGCGAGAAGGGGTTAAGGAGCTATTGCTACTTTCATCAGGTCTCATCTTCTACCTCTCATACATCTAGAAGCTCAAGATGTCGGTGAACATTATCAGTGGCTAATTCTTGGTATGGTTGGAGAATCTTATTGCTATTTGGCAATTTGTTATTTTAAACTATGGTCCATGGATATTTACTTAACATGCTTTTGCAACCGAAGTGAACCATTTCATCGGCTTATTGGAGATGTTATTAGATTTTAAAGTAAAGGGGTCTTTCTAGATGGAGATTTCAATGCTCGTATACATTGTGCTCAATTTAGTAATTCATTGGCTTCTTCTATGTTTGAAAAAATCTACGATAGTTTGTGGTCTAGATCTCTTTTGATCCTTCCACAAATTCTTTGACAGAGCACATTTTGACATTTGAAGCCACTTGTAACTTGAAGGTTCTTAATGAAACCTCTCGCTTCCCCAACTCTCAGTCCAATACTTGTTTTTCCTCTACCGGCGCTAGCACAATAGATTTTCTTTTGTCTTCCTTGGTCAGTACCTCTCTGATCTCTAGTTTTGATATTCTTGACCCTCAACCTAAATAAGATCATGCACTTCTTTTGTTTACACTTTCAATGTCAAAATCAATCTCTCCCTCATCTTGCCAATCTCTTTTAGCTTCTTCCAAGTTTTGCTTAGATCCTTGTAAAAGAAACCTTTATGCAGAACATCTACAAGCTTTTTTGACTCACATCATATGGAGTCCAGATTCACATACCACTAGTTTACAACTAATAGAATTCCTCAAAAATTCTGCATCAAAGTTCTTTTTGAGTCATATTTCTAGGATAGCTGAGGAGCTACCTTGTAATGGATGGTTTGACTCCGAATGCAAACTAGCGAGGGCAAGGTCGGTTGGTAGGTCTTTAGATATTCAAAGTCGGCTTCTTTTGACAAGGATATACAAAGACTTGATGAAGTCTAAGAATCGAGCTTTCTTAAGACAGAAGCAAGAATCCTTGACAAAGGACTTGATGAAGTATCTTAAGTTCTTTTGGAGACGATTAGCTACACCATTGTCAAAACCTTCTATTGATTCCGAGTCTTTGGTAGCTTTTGTCAAAAAGTTGTATTTCTTTTCTGAAGCTACATCTATGTCATATTTTGAAGCAACATCTGGATTATTTCCGGAAGAAGAGGTGATGACTATACTCTGAAAATAAGCAAATGGCAAATGAGAGTATTTAGATGGTTTA